CTAGACTCTTGTTTGGACAGATTTCAGTGAGTTATTCCTAAAAATTACAGGCCTACAATAAAAAAAATACATATTTCCATGCACAAAAAAATGTACCGCTTTGAGCACAGAAATATGGACATAATCAGACCGCTAGGGAGGTTAAATAGCGTTTTCAGTTTGTTTTGCTCAGATACAGTTGAGTTCCGCGTTAAATAAATACAAATATGCAGAAAGAAGAATCATTATATATGATGGGATTATAGAGTGGAGATGTTTGTTTTCCGTCTGAAATAAGACAAGATATATTTTGTCCCTGGCAGTCACAGACTTGGTCATTTGTTCCACAAGATGAAACAAATTACTTCATTAAAGCTACGGTACTGTCTTGGCCAGCTGATGAACCTTCTGAGCCCGTATCAAGAAGACGCTGCACCCTGCGTATCACCGGAGAGGGCCGCATGGGGACATTGTCAGTAAGTACACTTGTGTGTGATAATGAGGATATTTTCATGAATTCTTTTGTTGGGTTCATTTGCGGCAGGGGTGCTCACCCCATGACTTGTGGGCCACTTGTGGCTCTCAGAGCCCTCTGATGTGGCCCTCGACCTCAGGGGTGCTCACCCCATGACTTGTGGGCCACCCTCTGATGTGGCTCTCTCAGAGCCACTTGATGTGGCCCTCGACCTCAAACCAGGGAAGTGCATGCCTGGGGTCGGCAACCTGATAGCGATCTAGGCTTGCCGACCTGCCAGAGCATCAGAGTGCGTCGAGCCGGCGCCATCAGCAGAGGAAGCAGGAGCAGCATAAGTTGATGCTTCCTCTGTAGCGCTAGCTCTTGTCCCAGGTGGAGGGATACCAATTGCACTTCACCTAGGACCTTCTAGCATCCTGGAGAGCGATTCCAGCAGAGGCTGGAAAAGGGAAAAAAAAGGTCAGTGTATTAAATAACATGAAAAGTGTTTTAAGAAAAGCGCCACACCCTCTAACTCCAAAGCAGCAAATTCCCAGCTCAAAAAATCAAATACATTTTTTGCTTAGATAAATAAAAGGAGTGCGCTAATTGAGTGAATAATACGAAGTGAATATAAAAATTAAAAAATAAAAAATTATGCAAAAAAAGTGTCCATAAATAATGTCCAAAAAAATTTTTTTTTTTTTTAATTAATGTCTACACTATGTAAGAACCACCACCAGAAAAAATGTTTTTAAATCACTCACCAGAGCTCAAAAATGAACAAATACCTTTTTGCTCTGGGCAATATATAACAAACCCCCGTGAGGACGTCGTTGGTGACGAAACGCGTAGGGTGTGGCCTACTGGATGCTGACGTCTGAGACATTCTTTGGATGTGAGAGGAGGAGATCCAGAGCAAACGAAGATACGTTCGTGCACGGCTGCCTAAACACATGCTTGTAAAACTGGTGTCGGTGGAGACACCTGACTTGTGAGTTTTATTCGTTCATTAAAAAGTTTGTTACATTGATAAAACTTGCTGCACCATGATTCTTTTTTCTTACCTTTAAACATGGTTCCTATGGTATGGAAATATACGAAAGATTCGTGAGATATATTCATGGAAATTACCTACTTCCTTGAATGGTGGAGTTTCATCTGAGGAAAATTCGTTCGTTTCTCATATAATATTACATCTAAGAATCGGATTGCGATATATCCTTGCTATATCCTTGATTGGTGGTTTTTCATCTGAGGAAAATTTGTTCGTTGATGTACACAGTATTGTATCTAAGAATTGGTTTGTTATATATTGCCCAGAGCAAAAAGGTATTTGTTCATTTTTGAGCTCTGGTGAGTGATTTAAAAACATTTTTTCTGGTGGTGGTTCTTACATAGTGTGGACATTAATTAAAAAAATTTTTTTGGACATTATTTATGGACACTTTTTTTGCATAATTTTTTATTTTTTAATTCTTATATTCACTTTGTATTATTCCCTCAATTAGCACATTCCTTTTATTTATTTATTAAATAACATGCGCTGTGCATTCGCAATTAGCATATTAGCAGCTATAAAAGGGTTAACAACTATTAGGCTGCTTTCACACTGATCTGTGGATGCAGCACAATGCATCGGTGGCTTTCCTGGGGTTTAGCTGCGCTGAGCCATAGACTTCTATTATATCCTGTGGGTTTGATGCGTTTTCATAAAGTACACACACCCACAAGATAGAATAGAAGTCTATGGGAAAGCACAGCTAACCCCCAGGAAAGCCACAGGTGCCCTGCATTGCACTCACAGTGCGGGTAAACCGCAGCACATCACTGTGGAAGCAGCCTTATAGGGGGGCTCAGGACAGTAAGGGCTCATTTACATTTGCAGTTTGGGGGGTGGTAAAACCCCCTTGTTGAGTTGTATTTTTACCACACACCCCCAACCGCTGTAGTAGCATCAGGGGTCACAATGGCAACCCCGCCCCATGCTCCAGGAGGCCTTTGTTAGCATCCATGCCACGTTCTATTTTACACTTGGTCCGGAGGGGTGGTGGGGCGGCATATGCAGGATCCAATCCTCTCCATTTTTCTCCTGCAATTGCTGAAAGCCGGCTTCTCCTCCTCTCTTTCCCACCAGCATTCAGCAACTGCAGGAGGAAAATGTTCATTATGCTACTCGAAATAAAAAATTCAAAATTCTGAACCGTTTTATTTATTGTGGCCCGCGATTGGCTACCAAGTCACTTAGGTGGCCTTCGCTCTTCAAAAGGTGAAGGTATAATAATAATAAAAGGTTGAGCACCCCAGATTTATGGTATTTTGTTTGTTTAAAAAGGACAATCCCAAATAAATACTACCCTATATAGATTTACCATCTTCACCTATACCGGGGTCAGCAAACCTTTTCACATTAGGGGTCAATTTACATGTATTGGACATAAAAACAATTTTTAGCATATTTTCCCAAAACTATCTGCTGTATGCTGTGTCCAACAATTTTTTTTTTAATTCTTTATTTATAAGATTCAAGGCCACAAATATACTAATAGCAATTGACACTAGAGATGAGCGAATCGAACCAGGCGAAGTGGAATTCGATTCGAATTTCAGGAAAAATTCGATTCGCGTCGAATCCGAATATTAGCCTACTTCGGGTGCGCGAATCGGATTTTTCCCGATCAGCCGGCAAAAGTGTCCCTGCAGAGAGCTCCGCTATTTCTGACAGTTCTCTGACAGTTCCTTCACATGTACAGCGGTTGAAACATTGTATCTATTTGTTTCCATTTAGGATACAGATGTTTTTATTCGGAAACAGATACAATGTTTCAACCGCTGTAAATGTGAAAGTCAGAGAACTGTCAGAAATAGAGGAACTCTGCAGATACACTTTTTTGCCGGTTTGGAATTATTCTTATTTTCATCCTACTTCTTCTTCTTCTTCTTCATCCTCATCCTCAGAAGAAGAAGAAGAGGATGAGGATAAAGAAGAAGAAGAAGAAGAAGTAGGATGAAAATAAGAAGAATTCCAAACCGGCAAAAAGTGTATCTGCAGAGCTCCTCTAAGTGTATCTGCAGAATAGAGGAGCTCTGCAGATACACTTTTTGCCGGCTTGGAATTCTTCTTATTTTCATCCTACTTCTTCTTCTTCTTCCTCTTCATCCTCATCCTCTTCTTCTTCTTCTGAGGATGAGGATGAAGAAGAAGAAGAAGAGGATGAGGATGAAGAAGAAGAAGAAGTAGGATGAAAATAAGAAGAATTCCAAGCCGGCAAAAAGTGTATCTGCAGAGCTCCGCTAAGTGTATCTGCAGAGCTCCGCTATTTCTGACAGTTCTGTGACATTCCCTCCATACAGCGGTTGAAACATTGTATCTATTTGTTTCCATTTATGGAAACAAATAGATACAATGTTTCAACCGCTGTATGGAGGGAATGTCACAGAACTGTCAGAAATAGGCTATTTCTGACAGTTCTGTAACATTCCCTCCATACAGCGGTTGAAACTCCTTCTTCTCATCCTTCTCCTTCTCCTTCTTCTCATCCTTCTCCATCTTCTCATCCTTCCTCCTTCTCCTTCTTCTCATCCTTCTCCTTCTTCTCATCCTTCTCCTTCTTCTCATCCTTCTTCTCATCCTTCTCCTTCTTCTCATCCTTCTTCTCATCCTTCTCCTTCTTCTCATCCTTCTCCTTCTTCTCATCCTTCTTCTTCTTCTCATCCTTCTTCTTCTCATCCTTCTCCTTCTTCTCATCCTTCTTCTCATCCTTCTCCTTCTTCTCATCCTTCTTCTCATCCTTCTTCTCATCCTTCTCCTTCTTCTCATCCTTCTCCTTCTTCTCATCCTTCTCCTTCTCCTTCTTCTCATCCTTCTCCTTCTTCTCATCCTTCTCCTTCTCCTTCTTCTCATCCTTCTCCTTCTCCTTCTTCTCATCCTTCTCCTTCTCCTTCTTCTCATCCTTCTCCTTCTTCTCATCCTTCTCCTTCTCCTTCTTCTCATCCTTCTCCTTCTTCTCATCCTTCTCCTTCTTCTCATCTTCTCCTTCTCTTCTTCTCATCCTTCTCCTTCTCCATCTTCTCATCCTTCTCCTTCTCCTTCTTCTCATCCTTCTCCTTCTCCTTCTTCTCATTCTTCTCCTTCTCCTTCTTCTCATCCTTCTCCTTCTCCTTCTTCTCATCCTTCTCCTTCTCCTTCTTCTCATCCTTCTCCTTCTCCTTCTTCTCATCCTTCTCCTTCTCCTTGTCCTTCTTCATCTCCAAGGGCATTTAAATTAAAGGTACAGTGTTCTGCACTAATTTAAAGGCTCTCTGAAGCCTAGAAACCCTTTTAATAAGTTAAATTCGTAGCGAATTAATTCGCATCGAATCGAATTTCTTCCTCAAATTCGGCGAATCAGCCGAATCGAATTTTTGAATAATTCGCTCATCTCTAATTGACACCATTAATAAAGCGTTTTTAAAAACCCATGTGAATGAGCCATAGAAAAAGTAAAAAAACACAAGTTCACTTTTTTCCCCTTTTTTTCAGACTCATCAGGAGCTCCTGGATTTGGGTAACATTTTAGTTGGCAGTTTCCAGTCACATGCTCTGCTTCTATCAAATGATGGAGACTGTACCCTGGAATATACACTGAGCGCCACGCAGGAGATCAGCGGTCCATGTGACCCAGATGAGGTCATTAACGACCCAGTAGGTAAGTACCTTATTTTTAGGAGTGGTATACTTAAAGTGATATTAAAGGCAAATTTAAAAAAAAAGTTGTACTTACCTGCTCTGTGCAGTGGTTTTGCATAAAGCAGCCCCGATTCTCCTCTTATCGGGTCCCTCGCTGGTTCTCCTGGCCCCTCCCTCCTGCCAAGTGCCCCCAGAGCAAATTGCTTGCTATGGGGGCACTCAAGCAGGCTCCCTCTTCAAGCCGCTGATCTGCGTGTCCATTCACAAACAGAGCCGCAGCTTGGGCCCAATCCCCCACCCTTCATTGGCTCACTGACTGTGATTGAGCCAATAGCACCTGCTGCTGTCTCAGCCATTGAGGAGGTAGAGACCCCGGAGAGCCGATCTCGTGCACATCGCTGGATTGCAATGGGGTTCAGGTAAGTATTAGGGCGGCTGGGAGGGTATGCTGCACACAGAAGGCTTTTATCCTTCATGAATAGAATGTATGAAGGTAAAAAAACCTTCAGCCTTTACAACCACTTTAATCTATTTTTGCTTAAAATATTAATGACTTTTAGTTTATGTAAATTTTAAACATTTTTCTTTAACTTTTTTCCTTTTTAAATAGCGGTTTCTCCTACTGGTTAACATGTGTGATTCATTTTGTTACAAATTAAAATTTGGATGACATTTTTGTTATTTGGAGGTTCTGATGTATCAGAATTTCCAAATCACAATAGTAACTAATTTCAACAAATCTGCAACATGCTATAATGGAAACAACAAATTCAATTGTTTCATAGGGATGACATGATGTGATAGTTTGGACCTTTTGTTAAGGTTGGAAGCATCTAAAATAACATAACGACATAACAAATGATCTGAATTGATTGGGATCCTTACATTTTATTCGAACGAGGGAAGCGCAGTAGTCTTTGACTCTTGGATAATCTGAATCTTTTTGCATTAACATTTTTCATTATTAAAAAAAAATGCACTACATATGAAATAGAAACATATTGCAATAAATACAGTAAGGTATAAAAGTGAAATATAATAATTCCAACTTATACTCGTTTGGGTCGGATGGAGGTGGATCCATCAGAACCTCCAAATCATAAAATAACGAATGAACCTGAAATAAATTTTGTTCCATTTGTTACTTTCGGATGAACAGGACTCCAGTCGTTAGGGTCCAATCAGCTCATTCCTTTTCTCTTTGTGGGTTGCAGGGATGACTCAGAGTACATAGGTATTCTCCCGAAATATTTAATTAACACATTAAAATAAATATAGCCTATCTTCTGAATGACTTCTGAAAATACGTATCGATTTGGAACAACGGATGTATGAAACAAATCCGAATATACAGTGCTGTGAAAAAATATCTGCCCCCCTTCCTGATTTTTTTTTTTTGCATATTTGTCACACTTAAATGATTCAGATCATCAAACAAATTTTAACATTACACAAAGATAACCCGAGTAAATACAAAATTGCAGGAAAATAAGCTGTAGTCTCTCCTCTCCCCACTTTTTTCCCCCCAAAAAAGGCAGCCCTGCTGGCTGACGCAGGGGGGCCGCTCAGATCACGCGACTGGACCAGAACGGGCTGGGAATAGGTAAGTATATTACACCTTTCATATACAGGGTAGTCAGCATAGATGTTAGGAGGGGAGAGGGACCATTTTTAAGATTAGTTAGGTGCTTGAAACTTTAATGATGCTGTAAAGGAGGGATATTAATTATATCTCCTAGATTGTAAGCTCCAAGGATCAGGGCCCTCCTATCCCTCTTGTATTGAACTGTATCATTGCTGTATTGTCTCCCTTATATTGTTCAGAATTTTTTTTTTTGTCTTGTTTTTCCCTCTAAAACCTAGGTGCGTCTTAGCGCTGAGCAAACTGTTGGCGCTATATAAATCCTGTATATATAATAATAATCTTAATTTTCATAGTGTTTTCTTTACATTTCTGGATAGCTCTGGAGATGGAAAATACTAAAGGGAGGATACCAGCCCGAACCAAGCTGAAACTGAGAATAACAGCCCATCCAGCCCGCAGACTCTCTTATACCTGGAAAATCAACTATTGCCTCCTGTCCCCAAAAGGTGGGTTCCCTATTTTCCCTTGGTCCTGGCCGGTCATATAGGCAAGTTACACTTAACAAATTATGACGCAGTAATTTATTATTTGCTGTCAGCCGTTACTGTTTACAGATTTCTCATACTAATAAACCAGATCTTGGAATATGTTGCAGTACTTCTTTAATCCATGATTTGTATAGCACCATCATCTTCCATCACACTGTACAAACTGAGGAGACACAAAGGCAAAATAAAATTTAAATATACACAAAATAATAGAAATGAGAACACTACCAGATATACCTTACTGTTCAAAAAAGGGCAAGTAATTGCTTGACAGCATATGGAGGAAAGGTTTATAGAAGGAGGGCAACACAAGTAACGTCCTGGAGGTGTTACTGAGCCAGAAACTTGGGGTCACTTTCAGGGGCGGACTGACAACTCATGGGGCCCCCAGGCAATAGGGGATCATGGGGCCCCTGTATCCTTGCCCAAACTCAAAAAAGACTATGAAAAAGGTACCAGGGGCATCTCATGGGGCCTCTTACTGACCCCGGGCCCTCGGGTAGTGCCCGAGTTTCCAAATGGTCAGTCTGCCCCTGGTCACTTTCACACCTGCAAATCATATCTTGTTTCCATATTTATGTCTAACCCCTGTATATTACCTTATACTTTTGTATACTGTGAATTTTATCTCTCATCATACGTAGCCACCACAGTTATCATTTTTTTTATGTCAATAATCAAGATTTATTGAAAAAAAAAGAAAGTACAAGCAAATGTGATAATTACCATTTCATGGCATGCCTTAAAGAGGAATTATACTTTGGGGGCGTGGCCGGATGTAGAGCCGAGCGGACGCTAACCTGGCTACCTACTTGGCATCCCACCGGGATCGTCCGTGATGCCATCCCGTCAGAGGGGGCCCAATACTCCGACCGGGAAGAACAAGCCGCCTCCTCAGGCCGCCAGAGCGGATGCTATCTTTGAAGCTCCACACATTCCTCGCTGAGCTGGAGGCCATCTCATCCGCCATGGTGGATCCGGGGGGCGCAGTGTCGCCTTCCCCACAGGGGGACGCTGATAACACTAGCCTTATCCTCGGGGCTATAGAGCACTGTAAAACCTCCCTGCTGGTCAGAATTGATTGAGTGGCTGAAGAATGCAACCTCATCCGAAATGACTTGGATAAAATTAGAGGCCGCCTCTCCGACATGGAGGACCGAATCTCTGCTGCGGAAGTCATCACGGCGCAAAGCACTGAACTTTTGAAATCCCTTCAGACCATGGTAAAGCACTTGGTTGCCAAAACGGATGACGTAGAAAATAGGATCCGCCGCAACAATGTCAGAGTGCTGGGCCTGCCAGACGGTGCAGAGGGTGCGCAGCCTGCTAAGTTCGCGGAGACCTTTTTTAAAGATCTTATGCAGATCGAAGAAGTATCGCCCACGTATGTGATAGAAAGGGCTCACAGGGTCCCTACGGGGAAAAGAATACCTGGTGCACCGCACGGCCCTTTCTGGTTCACATCCTCAACTACAGGGATCGGGACCGTGTTCTTGGTGAGGCCCGGAAACATCCTGCGTTACCATATGATAACACCATGGTTCACCTCTACCCTGAATTTTCAGCTGTAGTGCAGAAGAAGCAAAATCCTTCATAGATATTCAGAAGAGACTCCACGACAAGAACATCCCTTACAGTATGATGTACCCCGGCCACCTACGGATCCCTCACGAAGGTATGGTCCGCTTCTTTGACACCCCTGACTGGCTGGCTAAGTTACGCTAATCGATCATTATCTGCAATGTGTCATTTTTGCTTTTATCCCAATTCTTTTTCATTCCCCTCCTGGTCTGGAGCTTGGACTGGTAGGCTGTGATGTCCCTCTTCTCCCCCATCCCATTCCTCTCCTCTCAGAGGGACCTGTATCATATGTCTCCTTATCACTTTTCTTCTTCAGGCTGCTGCTGATTATGGGCTCCCCAGGGTGGGTGGTGGATGGAGTATTGTGTTCCAGTGTCTCCCTTGCTGAGGGATTGTAGATCCTCTAGGTTCCTGAGGACTGATAGCCTGCCAAAGCTTTTCTCCATATGCTGGGATTATCCATGCCCCCCAGCCTTTTTTTATATATTTGAGGGAGCTTCATCTCCAGGTGGATGTGATACTGTTGTTCCCCCGCCATTCCTTTGATACATAGAAGATTATCCACCACAACGTGGAAGACTGTTCAAGAACCTCCCCACCAAGTGGACTTTAATTGCACTACATTTTGGGGATTAAACTGTGATAGCTAGCTGACGTTATTTGTTCAGCTACCCGGTAGGGTGTTTATTTTGTTGAGGGGTATTTTTTTGCTCACTCTCCTGGCTAGTGGTCGGGTAGTACACATTTTCGGGGGGACTATGCATATTGTTATCCAAGGGTATGGCAACTCTCTGCACTCCCTGGGGTGTGGTAGTCCTTCTGAGGTGATTTTTCTATCTCCTTATATTACTTGGTATGATTTTCACTATGGCTCTGAACATAATATCATGGAATATAAGGGCTCTCAATGATAAAATTAAGCGTTCCTTAAATGTTTAAATATTTACAGTCCCACAAACAGCATGTACTTTTTCTTCAAGAGACCCATCTTATTGGCTCTAAAATCCTAGCCCTCCATAGGGCCTGGGTCAAGCAAGGGTTTCATGCCACTTATTCTGTCTATGCTTGGGGAGTTGCCATCCTTTTACATAAAGCTTTACCATACAAGGTTATAAAAGTAATGACGGATCCTGGGGGTAGATATGTTATTTTGCTGTTGGAATTATATGCTGCTTTATGGGCATTTGTGAATGTATACCTCCAACCCTCCTTTGACTTTATTTATTACAGGTACTTATATAGCGCTGTCAATTTACGCAGCACTTTACATATATATTGTACATTCACATCAGTCCCTAACCCTCAAGGGGCGTACAATCTAAGGTCCCTAACTCACATTCATACATACACATACTAGAATTGTAATTACCAGCTGGATCGGCACCTGGACTGTTTGGGGCAAGCTGGTCATGGTCCGACCTGGAGCGGTGTTTTAAATTACACAAAAAGTTTATTGTGGTGTATGTTAACCTCCCTGGCGGTATTCCCGAGTGTAGCTCGGGGTAAAGTTTCAGCACCACAAGCGGTAACCCCGAGCTACACTCGGGAATACACTGCAGCGTTGCTCCGGGATCTCTTCTTCACTTACCTTGTCCTGCGCTCCCGCGATGTCCCCCCTGCAGTGTCCCCAGCAATGTCCTCCGGCCGATGCCGGCATCTATCTTCTGGGTTCCGTTCCCTGCGACGTACAAGGATGAAACTGGCGGGAAATTTAAAAATGTGAAAAAGTGACATTCACTAAATACACTAAAATCACATAGTATAACATTCCTGTATCAAACCATTTCACATACATTTTGTCCCGAGTGCTTTGTCCGGCGCCCTGCCTGCATTTTTACTGTTCTTTCTGCCTGGAAACTGAGAAACGTCCATGGCATCCAAAAAGCATCCCTTTAGGTCAAAAGCGGTTTTAGACCGGCTAGAGAACAGCGATAGTAAATCAGAACCACTTGCAGAATTGAGTGATAATGATTCATGGGGGAAATTCCTCATCAGACACTGAAAACGATTTTGCAATTTTGCTCAGTGATGTGCGAATTTGGCACTATATTTCAGATTTCAGTGTTTTTGGTTTGATTATATTATTGAATTAAATTTATTATTATATTATTATTATTTTTTTATGATTATTTATTAAATTATAATTTATGATTTCGTTTTTCAAATTTTAACATACCCGGGATGTTTACTAGACTCTTGTTCGGACAGATTTCAGTGAGTTATTCCTAAAAATTACAGGCCTACAATAAAAAAAATACATATTTCCATGCAAAAAAATGTACCGCTTTGAGCACAGAAATACTGACATAATCAGACCGCTAGGGGAGTTAATCAGAAGTGCTTTTACTTCAAAAATTGCAAATCAAGCACATGTTCACTTTAAGAAGAAGGTACCTGATTATAGAGGACTCTATTTGACAGTATTCCGATTCTGAATTGTATCCTGCAGGCTATAGGGATTCGAGACTTGATATAGATGACCAGAACTCAAGGACGACAGGTGTGAACCAAGCTACAGCATATACAATATTCTACAGTGGGGTTAGCCATTTTTTAAATAGTAAAAGTGGGATATTACAAAGCAGCCAAAGCAAGCAAAGAAAAAGGAAGTGTAGCAGGAAGTATATAACTTATAGATATGGGAGATATTCAGTATGAATGTATGAAGAGACTCTCAGATAGAAAAGTCAAATTTAACCCCCCTGGCAGTATTCCCGAGTGTAGCTCGGGGTAAAGTTTCAGTACCACAAGCGGTAACCCCGAGCTACACTCCGGCTTACCATGCGGCGCTGCTCTGCGATCCCTCGATCACTTAACTTGTCCTGCGCTCCCGCGATGTCCCTCCTGCAGTGTCCCCGGCAATGTAATCCGGCGGATGCCGGCATCTGTCATCTGGGTTCCTTCCCCTGCGAGCGTCGGGACGTACGGGGGACGGAACGGCGGGATATTTGAAAATGACAAAAAGTGACATTCACTAAAATCACATAGTATAACATTCCTGTATCAAACCATTTCACATACATTTTGTCCCGAGTCCTTTGTCCGGCGCCCTGCCTGCATTTTTACTGTTCTTTCTGCCTGGAAACTGAGAAACGTCCATGGCGTCCAAAAAGCGTCCCTTTAGGTCAAAAGCGGTTTTAGACCGGCTAGAGAACAGCGATAGTAAATTAGAACCACTTGCAGAATTGAGTGATAATGATTCGTGGGGGAAATTCGTCATCAGACACTGAAAATGATTTCGTGACTTTGCTCAGTGATGTGCGAACTTGGCGCTATATTTCACATTTCAATGTTTTTGGTTTGATTATATTATTGAATTAAATTTATTATTATTATTTTTTATTATTGTTTATTAAATTATAATTTATGATTTTGTGTTTCAATTTTCATCCTACCTGGGATGTTTACTAGACTCTTGTTCGGACAGATTTCAGTGAGTTATTCCTAAGAATTACAGGCCTACAATATAAAACGCCAAATTTTCATGCAAAATAATGGTACCGCTTTCAGCACCAAAAATCTGAAATAATCATACCGCCAGGGAGGTTAATGCCTGCTTCTGTTCCCTATAGCTCTGGATCCTGCAAACAGAGTCACAGAAGAGCAGTTTCTGTGCAGTGTGACGGCACAAGGAGTCTACCCTACATTCACTGTGGTGGATGCATGTCCAGCGGGCAGTGCCAGCGCCCTTACCACGACTCAGCTATGGAGGCTTTTCTCACTGCAGAGACTGAATTCCTGTCTGCAAAGTGACCCCACACCTCCAGAGCTAATATACAGGGTTCCTACTCAACACAGGTATGGCTGTTGGACTACAACAGGGAGTAATAATCTATATGTGTATAATAGCATGATGCATTCTGGAATTTGTGTCATATTTAGTATTTTTTCCATCCAGCATTTGCAGATGTCCCCCTGTAAACACCCCAGTCTTGCTGGACTTCAACTTCGGAGCTGCCCCGGTGGGCTCAGAGCCATTTGTGGCCCTTCTTTTGCTGGAGAATAATGGCGTACTACCTGTGAATTGGTGAGTCAACTGGAAGGTTGTCCATTTAATTGATTGCTTAGATTAAAATCGTACTGAGTTGACTGTAAAATTTACACTAGAGGCATGGCTGCTTCCAACAGTCCTTCTACGTGCATAAGGTGAACAGGGTGGAATATGAATTTTGATGAGTGGTATTTGTATCTAAATTGCCCGTATCAAATAACTGCAACAACTCATTCTGTGGGGGGAAAAATATATAGTCTAGGGTGCATTCATAAAATATTCAGACCCCATTCATTCTTTTCAGTTTTGATATGTTGCAGCCAGATACTACAGTTATTTGAATTTATTTTTTTTCTCATTAATGTACACCCAGTACTCCATAATGGCAAAGTGAAAACGGAATTTTAGAAATAACATAAAAAACAGTGCAGCACTGAAGGTATTAATAATAAATCCGAAATAAGTCCACTGCAAGTCCAGTTCATAGAAACATGTCATTGGACAAGTGGAAACTCAATGTTGGTGATCCGTGAGGAAGTAGCAGAAATACTCACTCACCAGAAAGAAGATATATATAAGCGGTATATATCAAAAGCCCATGGATCCTCAATCCAGAAGGAACAGAGCTGGTCTGGTCACAGTAGGTGGGTTCCTCCTTTAAGGATGCAGAAAAAGGTCTTCCTCCTCCCAGTTGGTTATTTTAGATTGAATTTTAGAAATGTTTAAAAATGTATGAAAAAGACAAAACTGAAATATTACATTGGTATAAGTATTCAGAGCCTTTGCAACAACATTTGAAATTTAGCTCAGGTGCCTTCCATTTTCTCTTGATCTTTGCTGAGATATTTCTACACCTTGATTGGAGTCCACCTTTGTTAATTTAAATTTATTGGACATGATTTGAAAAGGCACGCACCTCTCCATAAAAGGCCTCACAGCCGGCAATGCTTACTGTATCAGAGCAAAAGCCATTAGGTCAATGGAACTACCTGCAGAGCTCAGAGACAGGATTATTGCAAGTCACAGACCTGGGGAAGACTACAAAACAATTCTGCTGTACTGAAGATTCCCATGAGCACAGTGACCTCCAATTCCCAAATAAAATAAGTTTGGCACAACCAGGACTCTTCCAAGAACTGGTCACCTGGCCAAACTGAGAAATTGGGGGAGAAGAGAGGTGACCAAGAACCCGATGGTCACTCTGACTGAGCTTCAGAGATCCTGTGTGGAGATGGGACAAAGTTGCAGAAGGACAACCATCACTGCACCCCTCCACCAATGTGGGGATTATGGTAGAGTGGCTGTACGGAAGCCTCTCCTCTGTAAAAAAACCCATGAAAGCCCACTTAGAGTTTGCAAAAAAGCACCTGAAGGACTCTCATTGGGCTTTCATGTGTTTTGTACTGAGGAGAGGCTTCTGTCTACACACTTTGCCCCAATCCTCCTCTTCTAGGGACCACTGCTGGCACTTCTAGTTCCTCCCCCCACTGTGTGCCCCCATAGCAAGCTGCTTGTTATAAGGGCACTCATGTATGATTGCTCCTGAGCCAGCTCTGTGGGGGTTTATTTACTAAAGCTGGAGCATGAAAAATCAGGCACACTTCTGCATAGAAACCAATCAGCTTCCACGTTTTATTGCCAAAGCTTGATTGAACAAGCTGAGGTTAGAAGCTGATTGGCTACCATATACAGGTGCACCAGATTCTAAATGAACCAGCTTTAGTAAATCTCCCCCTGTGTTTCCACTGACACACACAGCCGGCTCAGCCCCACCCCCTGCTCCCTCCTACAGGCTGTTCTTGACACCAGCAGGAGCCAATAGCTCCCACTGCTGCCTTCCTGTCCAATGAGGAGAGAGAGAACTAGGAGAGCCCCTGCTATTGTGCACATTGCTGGATCAAGATCAGGCTCAGATACGTATAAGAGGGAGCTGGGGGGGTATCTGCTTGCTGAAGATTTTTTACCTGATGCATAGAATGCATTAAGGTAAAACACCTCGGACCTTTAGAATCACTTTAAAGTAAGCTAAACCCAAAAATGTAATTTATTGCAGATTATCAGTGCTTTGAGGTAGCGGCTGCATTATCTTTCTTTTTTTCTGACATTTTTCCTTTTTAGCTAGTGATCCTGCCAATAAAACACTTCCTGTCCTAGGATGACAATGCTTACCTACTGTACTGTATCTATGGAGGTGCAGCATTGTCATCTTGGGACAAGTGTGTTAAGACTACAGAACACCTCTCCCCTATTCATCTTAATACGATAGAGGGAGGTGTTCTGTAATCCTAACCCACTTCCTGATAATGTTGTTTGAGATGACACTGCAGAGTACACAGGATCCTGGGAGCTCACTGGATTTCTGTCAGGATCAACATGTATTTGTTTTTGCACTTATTGAACATATATGTTTCCAATGGTATACTGTTAACATTCCCAAAGGAAACAAGTAAGAGAACTTCATTGTTGTTCAGAGATAACATACACCTTAACCACTTCCCGCCCAGCCTATTGTATAATGACAGCCGGGTGGGACTTTTCATGGTGGACGTCATATGGCGTGCTCCCGGAACTTGCCTTGCGTGCACTGCAGGTGCGATCTGTCATTGGCTGTGTCCAGCGGACAAAACTGATGACGGATCACTGTACCGGCCCGCTGCCGATAGCATTTGATCGCTGTGATAATGAGGAACATGTGACGTGGATCTGGTGGTTTTTGGTGTTGGAATATATTGAGGAGCTTGTACATACTTGTGATTGTGAGGATAATATAATATATATAATATTTGCTTCTATGTTATTATTAAATGATACATGAAGATAATGCACTAGACTGGTGCACCCTCTCTTTGTCTGTCTAGGCAGGAATATAAGTCTGGAGGTGGTCGTGATTGAGGGAGCTGTGACCACATACCCAGGGCATGTTCACTAATCCTAGGTTCACATCTGTGCGTGTGATGTCGCTGCGGATCCACACGAAAATCCGTGCAGCCGCACCACCCGCACAGAGAAATGCGGACCTGCTGGCGCGTGCCATTCGTTTTAATAGCAAGCCGCCCGCACTAGAAAACGCAACCGTACTGGGAACCGAGGTTCCCATGCGGGCTGCGTTTTCAAGTGCAGGGACTTCATCCCTGCGTGTCACAGGCACGGGAGTCCATTCAATGAATGGGCTCTCGTGCCCTTGCAAAACGCGGCCCGCGGGGCCGTATATATGTGAACCGGGGGTAAGTGTGGGAGCCTTGTAACACCACCTCTTGTGTTTGCAGAATAATGAGCTAGCGGTTCTTTGCCTTCCCATGGAACATGACATGTACAGCATATGATTATTAAAGCACATTGTTAGTAAATGTTTTTGTTGTTCCAAAGGAACTTTTTATACCCGGTGGACCAGCAGATTGAGCTGGAGTTCTGGGCTGAAACTTGGGAGTTTGACCCTAGTGAGATCCACCAGATGAGAATACAGGACAACAAGCTGTTTACAGTCAACCCAAAATCGGGGATGCTAAGACCCAGCCAGCAACAGACGGTCCAGCTGTCCTACAGGTAATTATTTTTGTCAGCATTTGACAGTCTATAGTAATGAAATTAAAGTTCTACTAGACCCACAACAGTACAATCAGTCTGTAGATGCAGTAAAGCATGCTTGATATTCTCACTGTGGAACCTAAGGGGTTAATCCCCTGCATTGTGTAAGAAGGCTATTTGATCCTGTCTTTTATACTCCTCCGCTTCCTTCACAGTCCCCAGTTCAAGTGCTGATAGTACAGAGCCCTAGGAGGCACTCAGCACATGCTCAGTTTGGTGTGTATTGCTAGAGAGGGTTTTTTTGGGAGGGTGCATGTGATCAGCACAGGGCCAATCAGTGCTGTCCAGAGAGAGGGTCAGGAGTCCTGCAATCTTAGAAGACAGTCAGAGCAGAATGAAAACTCCTCCTCCAAGCTTTAACCAGTGCTCGGATGGACACTGATAGAAGTCACAAGACTTCTATATACTGCTGATGAGAAGAGGTATTTAGCAGTTTATATTTACATTTCCATGTTGTGTGTACTGTGGGAGACCAGATATAGTGAATGCAGGGTCCAGGGAGACCAATATATAGTGAATGCCAAGTCCGGGGAGACCAGATATAGTGAATGCAGGGTCCAGGGAGACGATATAGTGAATGCAGAGTCCGGGGAGACCAGATATAGTGAATGCAGGGTCCAGGGAGACCAGATATAGTGAATGCAGGGTCCAGGGAGACCAGATATAGTGAATGCAGGGTCCAGGGAGACCAGATATAGTGAATGCAGGGTCCGGGGTGTAGTAACAGTTTAATAGCAGAGTTTTAGTGCAACAAATAAATCCTTAAAGTGGTTGTAATATATATACATATAGCCAATGAAATGACTGGCCTCAAGTGATACACAGAGGTGAAATAAATCCTCCTACATAAGTTGTAAATGTTTATCTACAGTCTTCTTTTCTCTACATCCTTTCAAAGTCCAGAATTTATAAAACTTGTCTGAGCTGTCAGAAAAAAGGGGGAGAGAGCTGAAATGACACACTGCAGAGCTCAGTGAGGAGAGCTCTGAGAGCTGAGGGAAGAGACACACATCCCTTCACTCAACACACAGGAACAGAGCTGAGGCTTTCAATCACAAGCTGTGTGCTGGAGATCCCTCCTCCATCACCTTTTTTCTCTTTGTGTCAGGACAACTTGTCAGATGTGGCTCATGCAAATAGCAGAAGAATGAAGCAGCAGACAGAAATTACACTTAGTACTCTGGATTGCACACTGTGGAGCTCAGTGAGGAGAGTTCTGAGAGCTGATTGGAGGGAAGAGACATCCCTCCCTCCGCACAGCACACAGGAACAGAGCTGAGGCTGTCAATCTGCTGGAGGTCCCTTCCCGTCACCATTTTTCTCTTGGTGTCAGGAAAACATGTCAGAAGTGATTCATGCTGATAGCAGAGGAACGAGGCAGCAGACAGAAATGACACTTAGTGCTCTAGAGATTGAGACAAGTACACGCTATAGAGGGATATACTTTATTCATATTTCATGTCTCAGGTTTACAACCACTTTGAATATTTTTAAAATATGGTCAAGTTGACTGACACATGCTGTTGCAGCAAAATTTTGCCTATTCATCTACACATCAATCAGTTACTAAAGTTTTTTCTTGTATAAAACTGTTTTCCTCTGGTAATCTCTATGTCTAGCCTGTTGTAACTAAACCAATTTAATTTTTGCTTTAATAGACATGACTTTGTTGGAACTGATCGCTTACCTGTCCTGCTGAAGGTATCACATGGGCGGGAGATTCTGGTGCGTACAATAAAGTGTTTATCTTCACATGGCCATTTTTATAGTATAAAACTAAATAAATGATACATTTATTTACATGATCACAGTGCAATTGTCATATGGCAGTTTCTCTCGCTATAGTTAAATTTCATTGGCGTGACAGTAGAAAATGAACAGCGTTATGTGCACTTCACATCTACTAAGCATCAATTCACACCAGTGGCTATCGGCAGCTCCAGTCCATCTAAACAGGTAATACACACTAAAGGTATGGAGTGATCAATACCTGAAAGGGGCAGACTCTGAATCACATGCACTTAATCCTTTCACTATTAAAGTGGACCTGTACTCAAATGTGATCTTACAGCTATGCTAACATTCTTGCTGGGCTAGGGTATATACAGTTGTGTTCAAAATAATAGCAGTCAGACATCACTAACTGGATCAATCACTGTTTTTGGTGGAAATGATATTTCTACATGGCAAATAATTTCCTAGCAGGTGTAGTAGAGTAATAGACATCCAACAGACCCAACAGTCATGTATGCTCAGCTAAAATGATCGCAAATGCTTTAAAATGGCAACCAAAACCTGATAGATGTGGAAGAAAGCGAAAAACTACAATTTGAATGGATAGAAGAATAGCCAAAATGGCGCGGACTCAGCCGACAATCAGCTTCCAGGGAAGATGAAAGAAGGTGTGACGTTCCCTGTGAGGACTGTTACAATTAGAAGACGCCGATGTGAAGCCAAGCTATCTGCAAGAAGCCCCTGCAAAGTCCCACTGTTGGAGAAAAGACATGTGCTGAAGAGGTTACAATTTTGCCAAAGAGCACATTGACCGGCCCTAAAGAGAAATGGCGCAACATTTTTGTGGACTGATGAAAGTAAGATTGTTCTTTTTGGGTCTAGTGGCGGAGACAGTTTGTCAGACGACCCCCAAACACTGAATTCAAGCCACAGTACACTGTGAAGACAGTGAAGCATGGTGGTTCAAGCATCATGAATATGGGGATGTTTCTCATACTACGGTGTTGGGCCCTATTTATCGCATACCAGGGATCATGGATCAGTTTGAATACATCAGAATACTTGAAGAGGTCCATACTGCCTTATGCTGAAGAGGAAATGCCCTTGAAATGGGTGTTCCAACAAGACAACGACCCCCAAAAACACACCAGTAAACATGCAACATCTTGGTTCCAGACCAACAAGATGGACGTTATGGAGTGGCCAGCCCAATCCCCGGATCTTAATCCAATAGAAAAACTTGTGGGGTGACATCAAAAATGCCGTTTCTGAGGCAAAACCAAGAAATAGAGAAGAACTGTGGAATGTGGTTCCAATTCATCCTGGGCTGGAATACCTGATCACAGGGGCCAGAAGCTGGGTGACTCCATGCAACACAGATGTACAGCAGTTCTCAGAAACAGTGCGACTACAACCAAATATTCATGAAGTCATTCAAAGGAAAGCAAAATCTTCAAACATTTCTCAGTTTATATAGTGAATGTTTGAGTTTGTAAAGAAGAATACAAACACTGCTATTTTTTTTGAACCGTCTAATATTCACTTTTCTTCAATTTTTTTAGAGGAACAACACAAATTTGATCTATTTTTCTTCATGTTTTGATTTGGAATAGAATGTGTCGTGTTCCCAATGCATTTGTGTGTATGGAAATAAAAGCTATTAGAAGGATTTTGAGCTTTATTCACTTTTTTCAACACACTGCTATTATTTTGAACACAACTGTATATAGGGTATAGGGTATATAAAGAGTAATGGAGGAGGTTGAAGATGAACTGAACTGAGGAAGCTACAGTATGTTCAAGAAAAGGTGTGGAAGAGGACAAAGGACAGATCGCCAATATTGTCTGTGGTTTCCCTGCAGCTGATCTTGTCCTCAGTACTGACTTACCATGATTTGTTCTGTATGGTGTGTGGTTGGCCATCTTGGTAGAGGCTGGGCTTTGATCCCCCATGTAAGAGCCACCACCAAGTAGAATAGTGAGCAACACAGTTGTGACATAACCACATCCACTACTCACCATTCTGTTTCCTGGAGGCTCTGAAATGGAGATGCAAAAACACTGTCTCTGCCAAGCTGACCCATAATAAAGCAGAATAAGGCACTGTAAGTCAGTGATGAGGAAATATCATCAGTAGGGAGACCACAAGCAAAACTGCTGACTAGTCCGTTTCCCTCTGCCTGTCATTTTTTTGGCACAGCTTGCAGAGTTCAGTTCCTGTTGAATTATGTAGTTTTAAAAATTTCCACAAGTGGGGCAGGTGCGCCTCCTGCATGGAGTTTGCATGTTCTCCCTGTGCTTGTTTGGGTTTCCTCCGGGTGCTCCGGTTTCCTCCCACACTCCAAAGACATGCTGGTAGGTTAATTTGCTCCTGGATCTCCTGCATGGTGGGGGTTGGGGAAAGACTTGGCAACCTGCCCTGTAAAAATAATTGCTAAGAGAATTCATGGAAAAAGTCGCTCACGAGTGACGGTTCATGCAATCGCCAAGGGCACGGATACGACTGAATGGATAGATAGATAGATAGATAATAGATAGATGATGGATAGATAATAGATAGATAGATGATGGATAGATGATAGATAGATGATATATAGATAGATGATAGATAGATAGATAGATAGATAGATAGATAGATAGGGAGATAGATAGATAGATAGATAGATAGATAGATAGATAGATAATGGATAGATAGATAGATAGATAGATAGATAGATAGATAGATAGATAGATAGATAGATAGATAGATAGATAATGGATAGATAGATAGATAGATAGATAGATAGATAGATAATAGATAGATAGATAGATAGATAGATAGATAGATAATAGATAGATAGATAGATAGATAGATAGATAGATAGATAGATAGATAGATAGATAGATAGATAGATAGATAGATAGATAGATAGATAATAGATAGATAGATAGATAGATAATAGATAGATAGATAGATAGATAGATAGATAGATAGATAGATAGATAGATAGATAGATAGATAGATAGATAGATAGATATAGATAGATAGATAGATAGATAGATAGATAGATAGATAGATAGATAGATAGATAGATAGATAGATAGATAGATAGATAGATAGATAGATAGATAGATAGATAGATAGATGATAGATAGATAGATAGATAGATAGATAGATAGATAGATAGATAGATAGATAGATAGATAGATAGATAGAAT